TGATGTTTTCCAAACTTCAAACACTGTTTAACCCGAACACCAAGCAGCTTCCTGTGTAGCGACTTCATAAAAAACAAACTAGAGGGCGCTGAGAGGATGAAGTCGGGCCTGGCTCTGTGTCCGACACACTGCACAAAAGATTGGCTGAGATCCAAAATACGTTTCAAAAGTTTAAGAATTAAAAAAGGTCAACTTAATATAATGTGCACAAAATATAACGAAAGGAATCTCACAACGATCGAGCTTCAGATCAACGAAAAATACGGCATCCCACTCACCCTCTGCTTCACCAACAGCAGGTGAGCAGGTACCTAAATAAACTTCACTCCCAAATATCATCAGTAATGTAAAATCATTCTCTTTATAGTTCATCTTATTCATGGCTCCTACGATGTGGGTTCATTTTTCACTGCAATATGAAGTCCTGCACCTCAGGAATTAGTTAACAAAAAAAAAAAAAAAGCACTTTTTTATCACTTATTTTACAAAAAAACAACAACAACAACAAAAAAACTACTTGGAATCATCGTGTGCAATATTTTCCACAAGTGTCCACAAATAAAAAAACATGAAGACTTGTCATACTGTAGATGTTTTACTATTTACATTTTAAATCCGTTTCCTCTCTGCTCTGTGAAAACACTGCCTGCAGTTCAACCGAGAAGTCTCTGAATTATTATTACGTGACTGTTTGTCTCAGCCGAGTCACAGTTGTGCCCAAAAGCACAGAATTTTTAAATTTTATTTAATTTATTTTTTTACAGAATCTGGTTGCAGCAAAGGTTTTATTTTAAGCAAAGTTTTAGTTAAGCGATTTTGATGAATTATCACTATTTTAAGCTCAGATGAGTGTTTTTTTCTGATGCTGCGGTGCATCACAGGTGAGCACTTCAAAGACTGTCAGCAGGTTAAAAATCCAGTAATTTTTCTGTGTTTATGGTTTCTTTTTTGGATAAATGGTGTAATTTGGGTGATTATTATATGAAATAAGACACCTTTCAAACTCAGGTGAAGCAGCAACACACTGATCAATACCAACATCTTCTTGTAGCTGATCAGTGAGACAGGAAGCTGTTTACCTGAACAAGTGTGTTTCCTGTTTTATTTATCTTTTACATATAGCAAATCATGAAATTGGACGCAGAGAATAAAGTGATATTAATGAAATACGACAACATCAAGCTCAGAATCTGTTAATTTTCCTGATTGAACGGTTCGTTATAGAAGACGAGTAAGAAACAACTACAAAGCTGAGGTTTTTTTTCCTGTTTTTTAGTTTCTTTTTGTAATAAATGGTGTAACTTTGGTGATTTTCTATTTAAAATATGAGGCCTGTTGGTGGGTTTTGTGGTTCAGAGGGTGAAGCAGCAACACACTGATCAACACCAACACCTTCTTTCAGCCGATCAATGAGCAGGAAAGTGTTTTGACCTGGATGATGACGGTGAAGTAGACGACGATGAGGGTGGTGCAGACCATCAGGTTCTTCTCCTTGATCTTGTTCTCGTCCAGCATCATGGCCAGGCCGTAGGCGACGGCGCCTCGCAGGCCTCCGTAGCTCATGATCACCTGGTCGATGACCTCGATGGGAACCAGCCGGAACTTGTTCAGGATCCAGGTAAGGAAGAACACACCTGTGGAGACACAGCGATGCAGTCAGACGTGTTCAGAGTCGAGCGCGGCGGCGGCGGCGGCGGAGGAGAACCGGACCTCACCGATGAACCTGTAGACGATGACGAAGAGCAGCGTGAGAAGGATGAAGCCGGTGTTCCAGACCCACAGCGTCTTGTCGATGGCCGAGATGCCGAGGAAGACGAAGATGATGGTCTCCGAGCCGTTGGCGAAAACCTTCATGGCGTAGCGGACCGTCTGGACCGAGTTCTCGTCCATGTTGGCGTTGATGTACTTCTGACAGCACATCCCACAGAACACGATGCTGCACGACAGGAAGACACGTTGGAGGAGTTCATTGGTTTATAAAATAATAAAGGGACACAGAAATATCAAAGGTTTCTTCCAGTTAAAACATAAACGCAGGAAGAAACGTATATATATAATAATAAAACATTTCTTTAATGGAGAAAATAAACAGAATTTATTTTGCTTTTTTTTTTTTTTTTACATATAAAACAGGCAGAAATAATAAATAGTTTCTTTTGTGGCGGAAATAAACAGAAATAAATGTAGTTTAAGGAATTTTGTGCTTTTTTTCTATATTAAATGGACACAGAAAAAATAAAACATGTTTTTTTATTTAAAGCATAAAAAGTGAAATAAATGGTTTTGAGGAAGTTTTTATAACTGATCATTTTGGAAGAAAATAACTGCAGAAATAAACTTATTTTTAAGGCTTTTGTGTGTTTTTTTTTAATATCAAATAGACAGAAATAATAACAATTTTAAGGAGAACACAAACAGAAATAAACTTTTTTAGGACTTTTCTGCTTCTTTCTATATTAAGTCGACGCAGAAATAATGAAATATTTCTTTAAGGAGTAAAATAAACAGAAACAAATGTATTTTTTGGACTATTGTGCTTTTTTTCTATTAAATCAGACGCACAATAATAAAACATTTCTTTTAAGAAGAACATAAACCATCAATAAACGTATTTCAAGGACTTTTGTGCTTTTTAAATATGTAATAAATAGACAGAAGTGATGAAATATTTGGTTCAGGGAGAACTTTTATGGCTTTTTATGAATAAAATGGACACAGAAATACAAAATATTTCTACTAGGGGGGAACATAGACACATAAATGAACTTATTTGTACCTATTTTTAGGACTTTTGTGCTTTTTTATATATCAAATCAACACAGAACTAATATAGAACTATACTAAATAGAACTCAAACATAGAAATAAACTTGTTTTTAGGATTTCTTTCTGTGCAGAACAGCGTGACTCACGACAGGATGGCGGACAGCGAGAGCATCTCGGCGGTCAGATAGGCCAGGTATCCGAGGACAAACACGAAGCCCGGCTCGATGATCTGGATGTTCTTGGTGCATCTGGTCAGCAGAGAAATCAGGAGGCCGAAGACGAAGCCGACGAGGGAGCCGCCGAACGCCACCACGAAGAAGGAGACTGTGGAGGGAGCATGAAAAGGATGGTTAGGATGTTAGTTGACGTGAGCTCGGCTCAAGAGAAGAAGCATGAAAATCAATCATTTTAGCATTTTGGAGACTTTTCTGTTTCCTGGAATGTTTCACCTTTTTGTTTGACTGCACACCTGAGCTTCAACTTTTATATTTTTTATCCAAAATTAAATAAAATCCAAACCCTACTGGCGTCCACTGAGCTGAGGTGTTTTAACATTTAATATTCAGACTGGATCTCTCTGTTATAAACGTCTTCCAGGTCAATAAGAACATCTCAGACATCAACAGTGACACTTTGATCATTTATGTTCCTCAAACTGCAGCCGAACTATAACTAGTTGTAATTCTACTTTAACAAATCTGCAGCTTGATTCTGACTAATTAAACTTTTTATTTTGACTCGTCCAACCCCAAACACACACATTTTTCTCACGCCGATCATTCTAATCTCAGACGTGTCGCCTCAGACGCTTACATTCTTCCTTATTAAATGGATTTATTTGTTATTATTAGAACATGAACATGGATGCTGTACTCTTGGAAGAATCTGTGCAGTAACTACCGAAGGGATCTGAAGCAGCTCTAGATGACATTTAGATTTGGTTTGTCGTACAGCGATTTGTGCAAGTTATTCCAGTTCTTTGTTGATATCTTTCTGTCTGAAGCTGAAACGTTTCCACACAGCTGATCGAGAGGCGTCTGTGCAAAGCCTGAGCATCCACACACAGACGTAAATGAAGTATACATTTAGTTTATTTCATGTTCTACTCATGCATCTGCTGCTTCCACACAATCTCACGTCACTAAAGGCTCATTTAATCTCAAATCAACATCTTACTTATTCCTTTGATGATCTCCACTGCGTTGATTTTGGCTCCCCCCAGAGACACGAACGCGTCAAACACATTGAAGAGCACCTGAGAGAAGAAGAAGAAGAAGAAAGTCTGTCTCCTGCTGGAATAATGAGAGAAAACAGCCTGAAAATAAACCTGAACCTTCTTCCTGGCGTTGAGTTTTGAGCCTTTAATTCCCAATCTGACGTGTTAACTCGACTTGTTCTTGAAAACTAAAGAAAAACAGTTTGGATTTTGAGCATAATTTAGAAGAGAAATTGTTGAAAAAGGCAAAAATATTAACAGTTGATGTGCAAAATGTGCTCGTTGCTCAGCTACACTCTCTCAAGTAGATGTTTTTCCATATTATTATCCAGCTGAGGTGTACTTGCAGCTTCAGAAATGTGAGCAAAGGTGAAGAAAATAATAAGTTTTTAATCCCTTCCACTCCTTTTTATAGCCTCACTGATGAATAGAGAGGAATTTTCTGATTCATAACACATCAAAGCAGCACTTATTCTACATCTGAACCCTCAGAGAGCAGATGAATCCACAAGAAAGGCCGACCGGGCCTCGGTCGGCGCCAAAGTTTGCTTTCTTCACACCCCACGTCTTCAGAGTTGACTTTTCCAGTGACGGATGTGTTTTTCAAACTCTCAAACTGCTCTGCTGCTTTCGTAACTCTGAGAAGGTGTTTTTTTAATACGAACCACCGTGACGCCGTCGTTGAGCAGCGACTCCCCGAACACCAGGATGAACAGGACCTCGTTCACGTGCACCTGCTCGAACACGGCGATGACGGCGACGGGGTCCACGGCGGCGATCAGGCTGCCGAACAGCAGGTACTGCAGCAGGCCGATGTCCAGGTCGCCTGCACGGACACGGGAACAAACAGCAAAGTGAACAAAAGTGATGCAGATAATCACACACACGCTGCTAATGATCAAACACTGCAGCTCCTGCACACCGTGAGCGGCCCTTCAGCCTCACAGCCTCTGTCTACAACACATGTGATGAAGTTCCTCTATTTTTCTGTAGTTTTTAAAGATGTTTTTTCTAATTTAGTTGTTTTGTTTTTGTACTTTGCTTGTGACAAATAGAATAAAAAAAAATAGAGAACAAAAACATTTCTAACCCTGGCGCCCTTGGTTTTTTTTTGCTTGTATTTCATAATTTCTTGCACCATTAAAAGTACACTGAGTTAATTATTACCACCCCTTGTTTGGAATCTGCCCACGAATGAGCAGAAAACTATTACTGGACTCCTTTGGCTCTGAAGAAAACCCACAGATGTGCTGCTTTTAAAGCGCCAGTGTTGCTCCGCTTTCCTTCTGGGACTCAAAACTAAGTTCTGCAGAAGAACTTTTTCAGTTTTCAGACCCAGAGAGAATCTTTCAGGTTCACGTCTAACCTCGTCGGCCATTTTCAGGGTTTAATATCTCCAGAAATCCAACTCCCGGAGCCATGAAATGTGGTGAAAGTTCAGCTCATGACGCACATGTTAACCCGTAATCATAACCCATGAAGTTCACTATATCTTCTTTACACCCTCACTGCCAGATGTTTAATAGTTTTTCCTAATATTTTTCTGTCTTTCTGTAAAGTAATATCAAGTAGACGTCTGGTCCGTCTCACCCATGGCTCCCCCCATGTGGCAGCCCCACAGCGACAGCCCCAGACTGGCAGCGTTCCAGCAGGTCCCGATGACGGCGTACACCAGGATCGCGCCCATGTTGCTGAAGAAGAGCTTGTTGGGCATCGAGTAGCCGGCGTCCAGGATGACCTGAGGCAGCAGGTAGAAGAAGAAGACGGTGGGCGTGAGCGTGAAGGTCTGGGTCTTGTCCGCCCCCCAGATGATGCCCCCCAGGACGAAGCCGAAGCAGATGAGCAGGGCGCTCTCCGGGATGATGTTGGTCACATGGTGGTTGGCCTCGATGACTGACAGGAGACAGAAACAACAACATGAGAACCAGCGAGTGTAGATTCACGGCTGAACGTTTGCTATGTCTCAGTGTCAATACATTTTAGATTTCTGATTTTCTTTTTTTTCCTTTTTAAAATACGGATCGTAAAGTGACATCCGGTTCTACCACAAACCCATCCATCCATTATGTTATCCGCTTAATCCTCACTAGGGTCATGGGGGGCGGAGTCTATCCCAGCTGACTCAGGGTGAAGGCAGGNAAGACCTTCATGGAGCTACAAACTCTGACTTTAGGTTCAACGCTCCTCGACAACCCACTAATCTCATGTCGTAGTTCAGCCCTCGTTACTCGTTTACGTCATCATTTACACGATCGGTTTGACGCTCAAACACAGAACGAGGAGCTCCGACGCGGTTTCCTCGCTTGAAGCGCTTCTGCCAAGTTTTACGAGTTGAAATGCCTCAAAATGCCATCGGACAACAGCTCGCTCCGTGGATGTAAACAGCACAAAACCTGCGTCGCTTTAACCCCGTTCAGGACCTTCATGCTGCCGTACGTAGAAAGAACATGTGGAAAATATGTGTTGGTCTTCATGATAGACTTTTATACGACGTTAAATACATTTTCTGATAAGTTGACCTATTTTGGATTTTAAACGCATGACAAATGTCCCTCTTTTTATATTAAAAAAAATAATCTTTAAAAAAATGAACAAACAACACCTGTCACCTAAACCACATGACCTGGGGTCCAAAACACCTGAACAGGGTTCAAGGTTTCAGACGAGAGCTGCTGCAGAAATGTACAATCTGAGAGAAATGAAGTGTTTTTATCACATTAAAGCAGCGAACATGTTGTCGTCGAGTCCAGAAACAAAACCTCGGACCTGCAAAAGTGCTTCTTGTGTTAACAGAAAGACACAAACCTTCGTCTCCGGAGTAGTAGCTTCTAGTCTTGTCCATCGACTTTCCGTTGGGCGTCTGGAACAGGAAGACAATCGATCAGCCTTCAGCCGAGTTACACCAAGTTAGAAAGCAAAGCAGTGAAGCGCCGGTTCAGCAGTCGGGCTGGATCACATCAGAACATTCTGAACATTAACGCTGACAGGACGACAGAATGATCTGTTTTTAGACGCCGTACGGATAAATACGATCACATTTGGCTGAAAAACTGAAAAAGCAAACGAGTTATAAATAAAACACTAATTTAAATTTAAAGGCTATAAAGTATTAAAAAGCACAAAAAATCAACTTAAACGAGGAAACAACCTTGTGCATGTTAACGTGGGGTAGATGCTTTTAAAAACTCTTAAAATAAGTAAAGAAAATATGATATAAAGGAAACTGATTCGAGCTCAGACTGACAAACTGATGAAAAGACATAAGTTCTCTGTGCTTTAAGTAAAATATGAGTCAGATTGAAGGCAAAACTGTGCAGAAAACACATTTACAGGTCTGGAAAACAGAAGGAATGTTGTTGGGGGATTAAAAAGAAGCACAAGCTGCAGACGTAGACACTGCTGATTCCTTCATTTTGTGCTCATTTATGGGAATTTTTTATCTGACGTTTGAAGACTTGAGGAACAGATTAACTCTTGGCAGATGACAGAAAATGTAGGAAAGCTTGTGAATGAACCCTGAGCTGCTCCGACCTTCGGCTGCTGCTCCTTCTTGGCGTGCTTGCTGATGGTCTTGGGAGGAGCGACGCCCATCTTGGTCGACTTGAAGGACTCCAGGCGGCTCCTCATCGTCCTCTGGAAGATCTCCTGCACCTCGTTCTCGTCCTTGTTGACGTCGAAGTGGCTGCGGCTGTATCTGTGTCGGTGCTGCACGCCACAAAACGGGTTATTTCTCTGCAAGGCTTCGGGGCGTTAATTTGAACGCTGCAGTAGCCAAACACGGAGCTCACCTGCTTCCTGCCTTTGTACAGGTGCTGCTGCAGCAGGTGGTGGGTGTTGACGTCCTCGGACTCTCTCACGGCCTTCATGTTCTGCTCGTGCATCTCCAGACTCACTGATGGAACTGGATCTCTGCTGCCAGGACAGACGGGTTCATGCAACATCACTTTTCTCTCTAATTCATGCTTTGATATTGAGCAAAGCGTCCAAAAACGTTTTACCTTATCTAAATAGATTGATTCTGCCATGTAGTAGAAAACACTGCTGTGAAAAGCTGAGACTCTACTGATATACAACGTGTAGAATGGTCTGCTGCACCTGTAGTCGTTTGGCTATAAGCGGCCATGTTTGTAGTTCTTTAAAGCAATCAAAATTGTTGAGGGCTCAAAATAGTGAAATAGTTTTGGTGGAATATGTGCCTTCAAAATGTTATTAAAATTGATCATTTACCCAAAAAAAGAAAAAACCCAAGAGGGCAGCTGCAAAACTTTACATTTTCAGTGTTGCATGTTTCCGCTCTGACATTTCTGTCAAGGAGTGAGCTGATTGGAAACCTTGGAGAACCTTAAATTGTTCGCTCACCTTCTGTTGGACATCGCAGCGTGATCGTCCGACGTGTCGGCCATGATGTCAGGCATCACCTCCTCGTAGTCGTCTCCGAACTTCTTCTTGAAGTCAACGAAGCTGTTTTCGTTGCGGATGAACTCCAGAGAGCCTCGACGTTCGCCCTGCAGCGACAGCACGAAACCATCTCACATCCTTCAGAAGCAGAATAAAT